TACAGGCCTGCAAAGCTGTTTTGTTTTCATTTAAGATCTAGATAGGGTTTCAGAAGTCTTGAAAATCATACAATAAAACTTTTAGCTAAAGAAACAAAATTAACTGGTTAAAGCGCCAGAACCTGCTTCTTAATTCTTTAAATTTTGATTTAAAAATATGACTACGGACCTGTTCAGTTACTGGGACTTTCGAGAGACTGGCGATAGACCCCTAAAAGATTCAGATTATGAGGTTGTCTCAAAATTAAGCTCGACCTAAGTCATTTAACTTCCTGATCACACACACTATCAAAGCTTTATGTTGAATCTCTTACCACGCTTCGTACCCGGCTTGATACTGCTGGGATTTTCGACTTTTTCTTTAGACTTTTGCAGTGCCTTTTTCTGGAATGAAATAAAGCACCTTCGCCCTCAGACTGAGATCCTTTAATTTCAAATCAATGACAATCTCTTTAAATATATGGGACTGGAGCTTGATGTCATACCCTTTTCTTCAACAAAGCGAACTTTCTAAGAAGGTATTCCTCCTCTGCGGTTAGATTTGGTAAGCCCATTATTCAAAGTTCCCAGAAAATCAACTAAAGTCTCACAGTCACTAATACTTAGCGCATTCCGCCTTCATTTCCGCCATCTTTACTCATGAGTCTTCGGTAAGATCACGCTGCGGATATCATCAGAAAGCAATAAGTATGTCGTGTATACCTTGATTCCGAATGCTTTCTCAACATTCAAACATGGCGTTCAACGTTATGACTTCCGCTTTAGAGTCTGAAGTGTACTGGTCCTTAAAAAATGAAGTTTTGATAGAACTGAGGGAACTGCTTGTTGACAAATTGCAATATGAGAAAACTTTGGACTATCTGAGGTCTAAGCGAGTATTTGATCGAGCGGACTGCGATGAAATTGAAGCAGAGAGAACTCCAACCAAGAAACGAGCAAAATTCTTGGACATTCTGGGCGATAAAGGTCCCACTGCTTTTGACCAGTTGTGTTTTGCTATTCAGAAGAAGTGCAAGGGACAAGAATATTTATTAGACATTATCCTCACCACTTTTGATAGGAAGAAACAAGAGCGAAGTAAGCCTCTTTACAAATTTTAAACATATTTTAAACTTCCGTTTTAATTATAACGTATAAGCTGATTATAGTTGGCAATATTTTTTTTGTGGTAGTTAAGTGTCGCTTCTAAAGCTTTAATCTAAATTGATTAACTATAACTGGTACTCAATGAATTTATTTAGTGAAAATGATATCAAATTCTGATATCATCCCTTTAAAACTAGGAATAAATTACACGACTGTCCAAGTTCTCTTTTCAACTTAGCTGAGTTTATTTAGCCAAGGTTAAATAAGGGACACATTATTAAGAACACTTCCTTTTTTTCCAAGTTTGATGGTAACCAAAATTTACTCGAAAAATTTTGGCTTGATTTCCCTTGAATTGGACTCCACTCAGTCCAGTGTTACCATTATTGACACAAGCTTAAAATTTTTCAATTTTCAATGAGTTTACTGATGCAATAAATGCTAGGTTTTTGACTTATTAGGGGCTCTTTTATTGATTAATGTATCCATGTCCCTGGGTTGAGGAAAACCTTATGCATTGATGTGGCCAAGTGTGACAGAATTTAGAGCATAAGCTCCCATCTGTTAACCTGTGTGAGCCTAATCATAAGTGAGCCCACTCTGTCCAGTTCAAGTACATGTATATTCAAGAACCACAGGCATTTTGTCCCAATTGGAGAAAAGATTTATTACTTTGCAGGTTTTAAAGAGCTACCTCCCACAGAACCACCTGATTTAGATGGAGGCTTATCTCCCCCATGTGATGATCCAAAGCTTGTTGTTATGGTAACAGGTTTAGCTCCAGATACATGTGAAGTAGATTTAAACAATTTACCAGGACCTGGAGATCCTGGGGCTCCAATTCCGCCTGATGAGATAGAACCTACACATGGTCAACAACCAGGTAATCTTGCTAGACAGGACTTTTACAGTGGGACTTTTCAGTAGACCCTGTTTCACTAGAGCAAACATAGTCAATTGCGCAGAAAGAGCTTGATATAGAGAAATATGTTTTCTGTCTTATCACAAGCGTGGGACAAAAAAAAAAATTCTGAGTCTCCAAGAGGGAGGTCAATTCTGCACTCCAATGCTCTGCTACTGAGCTACAGAGACTGTGGTGAGCGAGGCCCATTACGAAGTTCATATATGACATGTCCTGCATACTGCCATGATCAGTGATGTGACAATAGCATCATCTTTGTAAATAGATTACGTAAGAAAAATGATAAGTTTAGTGCTCAGTAAAGGAATAGATAAATTTATGAACTTTAGAGATGAGAATGTGATGTGAATGCATTGTCCTTAAAAAAAAAAAAAATCCGAAGACTCTTCATTCACCTTTAATTTGACAAATAACTTGAAGAAACCCTTCCTTATAAAACCTGGTACTGAATGATACACACAGCCTTGACTTCCGTCTCATGCCAATACAAAATTACTGACCTATTTCCAAACCCTTACCTGAAAACTTGCTCTATTATGCCTTCACTGACACATTTCCTAATAATTTACAGAATAGTATAGGCACAAACCAATAAAATAAAAGAGAAGTCTTTGCATAGAATCATACTTCCCTAAAAAAAGTCCCATTCAGAAGGTGGAGCTGTTGAAAGGAGTTTGTGTGAGACAGCCATAACTCTTCAGGGCACCTTCAAAATTTTTGAAATATCTGAAGGAATCACTAGCCAGTGTGGTTCTTTTGCATATGTACAACTGTTTTGCCACAAAAAAGGCGATAATTGACCATGAAAACTGACAATGTTTCCAATATCTTTTCCTTGGGAAGATATTATTTGTCAAGGCATGCAATTAGAAATCAGTGATTGATGGTCCACAAAGATGTTGGTCAACCATCCCTAATGAAAAGGTTAATACAATACCAAAGAAATGAAAAAAGGGTCAAGATTGCACCCAGCCATCTAAAACTGCAGCTTAAAATAGATTTCCTGATTAATTTTTATTCTTTCAGGTCAATCCATCAACCAAACTCCACTTACCCCTCCACCATCTTATGATGTGTCAGAGTTACCACCACCATACTCTCCACAGGAATTAGAAACTGAGTAAGAGATGGAGAGACAGGGAAAGGGATGGGCTCTGGATAGTCACTGGTATCATCCCAATTGGTTACATATTAAATTTCTTGTTTGTTTTTATTATTTATGTACATTCTGCTTATAAAAGGTTCTATTGCTGATTTTAATCATTTACTACCATTTGGTTTGAAATAACAAGGCTAAAATTCAAAGTGCTTGATATTATTCCTTAAACATTTAACCTCCATGAGTTATGAAGACAGAATTCCTCCTTACAATTTATTATAATGTCAAGGAGACAGATGCTGAGAATAAAGAGAAAAAGCACTGATATACTAGTTGATCCAGTACCAAATTCTCTGAACTAACATCATTAGAATTGTATGCCAGACAGTAAGGAGTCTTGGGAGTGAATGGCACAATGAACCAAATTTATCCTTGAATGTATATGCTGACATCACTTTGATACAATTATTAATTCTTACATAACAGCCTTAATTGATTTGAAAAGAATAGAAATAAGTACACCCGTAATTTAAATTAGGATTTGATGATTTTTAACAGGTAAGAAAAGTTTAGCCAGGGAACAAAGGTTAATTTTATGGTTAATTTTATGTTACAAATGCACCATAAATATATATTAGACTAGATTTACATTTTAGTAGGTTACTTTAGACACATATCTCATTTAAATATGTAAATTTATGCAGGATGCCAATTGTGAAAGCAATCTGAGTGCAAGCTCTGGCTGAGTTTAGCTGTTCTGTAGCTGAGGCAAGACCCAGTTAATGTCTCTTTGTTTCTTTAATCATCAAAATTATATATCTCAGTATCATGAAACAAAAAAAATGCTGAGAAGGAATTTGTCACAGATAGGGCTGGAGAGGGCTGTCAGAAGTGAGACCCTCATAAACTACATCGTTTCACAGAGTTGGACATGTTTTTAAAACAGTAATATGAATTGCTGATTGGCTAAAACAAGGTGTTTTCCAGGCAAGGGAAACTGTTGTCAATTACCTATATAATTTCCTGTGACAAATTTGGAAAACAATCCAGTGATCTGAAAGAACTTATAATATAAAAGCACAGAAACATTTTTTTTCAGTTTTTATTAGGAACTATCTTTAGAATTGGTCAGTTTTTACTTCTGATATAGCTCTTGATAATAAGTTAGTTTACCGTCACTCATGCTAACGATGAATACTAAATTATAGATCCTATGGTGACTCCTGCAGTCCCTCTCGTGTGTGGCTCACTCAGCTACAATGTGCAGTTTACTTTCGTTAATACTTGTTTTTTGTGTTCATCTCAGCAATGTTTATCTTAAAAACAGTCGCACAGTCTGTACGTCCAGTAGCTTGACTGGAAAATACTAACTACTTTTTAAAAGTAAAAGTAAGTCAAAGTTTCTAAAACATTAACTTTGAAAATGTTTACATATTTTTTGACTGTACATATGCTTGTATCATTCACTGTCATTTATTAGTATTAAAAGCAAGTTGTTCAACAAAAGATGTCACAAAAGTCTCGAGTCAATGGTTGCTTGGCAGAGTTTTTCCCAATAATAACCTTACATTTTTGGCCTTTTTTTTCCATTAAAGACACCCTTAAACTGACAGGTGCAATTTCATATGTATTGTGTACCATCAAGTTGAAAAATTTAACAGCTTCATCTTTTGAGCACATTTTGGAAAACTGAAAAAGGTAACCAAAAATATTTATAGGAAGAGCAAGGAGGTGATTTTAGAACATAAAAAATTCAATACATTTTATTATAAATATTCGATGCTCTTGGGTAATATTTATCTGTTGAAAAATTTAACGGGTTTATCTTTGAGAACATTTTGGAAAACTGCAAAATTTCCCAAGCTCAAGAAAGCCATTTGGATTTTTGACTTCATGACTGTTAAGCATTAGAGTATCCTAAAAGTTGACTAGTCTGAGATCGAAAAACTTAAGAAACAAAAGGTTTGTTTCTGTGTGCTCCATCCGGAAGCAGGAGCGAAAATATACTGCTAATATCATTAGGTAGAAATGTAAACTGCTTTGAAAATTTTCACCTATGATGCGCTTTTATGACATAAATATCAATGAAAAACTAGAATTTCTTCTGACTTTTGAATTTTAAACACGATACATTTACTGTGCGCTTAAAACGTTCTATTCATTAAGGATCATTAACACTGACGCCATGGTGACCGGGTATACCAACATGACTTTGTGCTTTTAAAGAAGAGCTTTTTACCATTTTAACATTGGGTCGATATCCCCGTTAGTAAGGTGCTAATTTCAAAAGGTAATGTTGTGATTAAAGATATTTGAAAACAAATAACTTTTGATGCAATTTTAACAACAGCAGATAGCTTATCTACGGGACCTTAATAGGGCATCAAGCTTTTTTTTTTTATCTAAGGATAACTTGGTGGTACTCTACTTGCATGGCTCAGTTTTCTTTTTTGTTCCCGCACAGATTCACTCAACAGGAAGCAACGGAATAAGCGTGTGATAACTGCAAGTGAAAAAAGCAGTTATCTACACGGTCATTTTCAGCTTTCCAATATCTCCTTAATTAAAAAAAACTGTTGAAAACAATTTCAGCTCTAAAAGTATTCTGTTGCCATGCCATACATTACTTGTTCGGTTATTAATTTCGTTTAATCAAAAAAGGTGATATGTTTAATATCAGTGGATAAAACAGGAGATTCGAAACATCCACATCTTTTCCACCTGAATTCATATTTCGTTTTTTAACAAAATTTTGTGTCTAGAGTGAAATGGCTATTCCACGTCGGCATAGTGGAAGGCAAGGTGGAGAACATCATTTTCTCTTTTAAGCTGTTCCTTGACCACGCCTACATTTCGCACGATTCTGGTTTTACTAACTAAAATTTTGGCAAGTCCTAACGTCCCTAATATCTAAACATTAGATTTCATCAAAAAAGGAAAGGTTAAGTAGACCCACAGGCTTAATTTACGCCGCTACAAAGCTCCGATCAAATTCTGACTGATGTGATAAAAGGAAGGCAACAGAGGAGAACCTCTAACGCAAAAAGTGAGGTTCACAATCCGACAGGTTTAAAACTAGATGAATGAAAAGAATACATAAAGGTAAATGCTATGGTGACAACTTATCAAACTCATTTGTGGTGATTTCATTGATATCATGAGATATTTTATTTCAATTATTCATTCGTTTTTCCTTCACTTTATTCCAAGGCAAGTATCGACCAAATTCTGACCAATGCGGTAAAACGAAGGCAACGGAGGAGAAGGTTTTACAAGGAAAAAAAGAAAAATCACCTATGAGCAGGTTTGCGATGAAGTGTTAAAACTTGTTTTAGGCTCACTGCTAACGAGGTGTGTCAAAACTATCTTTAGCTTCGTTTCAAAGAGGTATTTTGATGCATCTTTTTCAAGCATTTTTAAAAGTTCAACCGACGAATGAACGTTGTGTTCGTTGTCATTCTAAGCTGATGATGTTAAGGTCTTCAGCTTTATACTCAGCCTTTTAGCGTGTTAACTGAAAAGATTGTCGCCATGAAAAGACACAGTGACCCCTCGTTAAAATGTCTCTTTTAATTCATGAATAATTATTAACGGACCGAAGGGCAAAAAAGGGTAGTTCGAGTTTACTCTAACTTGTTGAGATTTAATATTAAAAACAAATAACAGAAACACTGATACTTCGTTCGAAATGTCAGCTTTTGAAACCCTGTCTGGTGGACAATTTACATTTACCAACTAAGTTGATGGCCGTCGAATTATTTTGTAACAAATACACTGGCTAACAAGTTAAAATTACCATTGTGGGAAAGTGGAAAATTCCAGCTGTGTTTTATAAGTGCTTTTTATTTATCTTTTTTTTTTCCTGTGTCATCAATTCTTATTAAGAGATTTAGAGCTTCGTCTTGTCAGTACTGTGCAATCCAGGAGATAAAACTGATAATGAGGCCATGTCATTATAGCTTTGCCTCTTAAAAGGAAAACTGATTGAATTATCATTACAATGGTAAACTTCCCAGAATCTCATCGTGTAAATGGTAATTTATTTATCAGACGACGGAGAGATAAGGTTTTTACTTGGTGTGGAAAGATAACAGATGACGCGAAAAAATATTTTTGTATTTGGCTTGTTAACAGTATAGCGATCAAAAAAACAAACGATAATTTTGTGCCCTATTCTATAACTGAACTATTATACATGACCAAGGGTTGGATATATTCCACCGATGTTGATAAATACAGTAATATAATTATGCCTTTCGAAACTTTTACGAGAAAGAAGCCGGCATAGGAAAAGAAGTGTTTGTCGAGAATTAAAACGAAAACACAAGAAAGACTTTTAAAACTGGTGAAAAAAAGGTAATTAAAGAGCTTGAAAACCGTGCCAAAAATCCATCATCAAGGGTATCTTATCTTATTGTTAAACGAAAAGAAAAATATACGCCATACTCACAGCAGACTCAGTGAGAGATTCTCAATTGATAAAATGCAATTTTGAGCAATTGATTACCGTATTTAAGGTAATATTGCAATATGGCTGCTTTATGATCTTAATTTTGGTAATGATTAAGGTTTAGATTTCATATCGCTGTGTAATGCGTAAGCCACCATTCGTTCAACCACGAAAGAGAGATCTAATATTCGTTTACACAGTGATTACGGATATTATGCTTACGAGGTAAAAATTCCCCACTGAGCTGAGACCCATAGTGCATATGCAGGCAAACAAAAAGTTATCAACCGAAAGTAGTGTACAACAGTTAATGCCAACAGTTAAAGACTCTACTTGCTTATTCAAAGGTAGTGTGTGGAATACTTACGTTTAATTAAGTTCGCAAACAAACTGATCTCATTTTGCTCAGTGATGCGCGATTTCAAAAGCAGTTTACCTAGAAAATAAATTCACGGTGGCTATTGAACAATTGTTTACGATAAAATTGCAGTCCACAATTCGTGAGATTCAAATCTAGACGAAGAAAAAGAGTTCGACACGATCATCCCCTTTTGGTAACCGATCAAAATAAGTTATGATTTCATTGATGGTAATCGTCGACATCATCAACAGATTCATTTCAATCCTAACTCCGTATTTTCCTTAGTTCTTTCTAAAAGGCAAATATGCAGTATTTTTGTATCAACAGGGCTTACTAGGATCGAATATCGAACTTACAAGTTTCTGGGAGAGTTAATGAAGTCTTTAAAAAGTTTTATAAGCTACATCGGTGTTTGATTCCGTTTTTCCGTCAATAGCGAATCGCCTTAATCAAACAAGTAGGCCTAAATTGGTTTCGCCCTGCCTTTTGACAAATAATTCTTTCTGAAAAAGGTGTGTGTCAGTCGATCTGCGATTTTAGGAAAGTTGTAGTGTAAGGTAAACATCCATTCCGTTTGTAAAGAGATTTCCAGAGTTACACCGGAAAATATGATCATTGCCTACAAAATTGAAGTGGTGCTTTTTCTCTCGAACGCAAATTTTTAGACGTTAGATTGAAATTTCCACTTGCCAGAACGGTTCCAGATAAGACCGTTTTACTAAAAGCTGCCCTTTTTTCAGGAATTCATTTATATTCAATTATTATCGTGGGGTTAGCGTGTTTTCGATCGCCCTCAACTTCTTTGCACATTATCGAGTGAGATGTACTTTGTATGGTATTCTTTGGCAAAACGAAATGTAAGCAATAAAAGACGAAAAGCAAAAAAAAAAGAGAAAAAAGAGAGAACGAATAAATAAAAAACAACAAAACAAAAATGGAAACAGGAAAAAGAGGAGAGTCCGTTGAAGTAAGGGAGAAGGCTAATTATCGAGTTTTTTTTTTTTCATTTTTTTTTATCACAGTCTTAGTCCTTAAGGCTTTAAAGCTTAACATTGTGGCGTCTTACTTTGTTGCACCCAGTTCAAATAATGAGAGCCATGATTAGCAATTATAGTGTTCGGAAGAGGAAATTGTCATATTTCAATTGACTGGCAGTCAGAGTTTGACGTTTTAGGATGAAGAAATTGCCACACGTCAAAAGATATAAGTCATTCAATTTCATGTTTGAACTTAGAAGTCTTCGATGCCAAACCTGGCTGTTATTTTTTTTTTACCCTTGTACAAAGGATTTGACTTAAGTTTTTTTTTTACAGGTCACATCTACTTGCAAAAGATTTGTGCAGTGATGTAAAGTGAATAACGTTATCCACATCTCTCAGGTAATGAAAAAATCAAGCTCTTACCTCATAGAGTAAACGCGGCTAATAATTTCAATTTTGGAGTTTTGGCATTTTGACATGAATGTCATGCTGAGCCTAAATTCTCTAATGAATGAAAAGCCTTTTCGAAGTACAGCTATCTAATTATTTCCGTGGCTGGTGGTTTCTTTCAAGTTCTTAGGTTTTATTTAGTTTTTTCGGTGTTGTGTAAACGCAGATAGACAAATGAATCGTGCCAAATTATATTTTTTTCCGTCAAACTTGGAATTATGTAGATGATGAAACGGAAGCAACAAGAGTTCCACTGATTTTCCTCCACGAACTTTTTTTCTTGAGAACAGTCTCGTGCTTTTTGTTTGGTTTGGAATCAATTTTGCTTAAACGCGACGAGCTCTAAATCGTAGAAATTAAGGCCTCAGCAACATTTGCATGGTAGGTCAATAACCAATGTCAAACAATAACAATAGTGAAGTTAAAGACACAAACTCTCTTTTGGGGGGAAGCAAAGACATGTTTGACATAGCTTAAAAGACCTGATTTTAAGATAAACAATGTTAAACTTTAACAATGGTGAAGTTAAAGACGCTAACTTTTTTTTTCTCAATAGAAGCAAAGGCATTTTATGTTGGCTATGAAACGGATGCAACGAGAGGGGCAGTGATTTTCTATCCAGAACTCCTCTGCTTAATAACAATCTCGCCCCTTTTTTCTGGTGTGGAATCAATTTTGGTTAAACACGACTAGCTTTGAATCGTAGAAACTTAAACCTCGGCAACATTTGCATAGTATAAAAGTCACTAACCATTGTCAAACAATAACTGTGGTGAGGTTAAAGACATATTAATTTTTTGGAGAAGCAAAGACATATTTGAGATATTTTGGAATGCCTGATTTTAATACAATGCACTCAAAATTTATGCTCTTAGTACGAAAAGATAAAACATGTGCCAATCGATACGATCTGTTGATATCTTGAAACTTTGTTTTCAGATCTGAGCGGTTTCCTTTCTGTCAAGTTTGGAATCTTCTGTACACCATGTCTTTGTTTACATACTCTGAGGCGGCACAAATCAGTCTTCGCACGGCGTTTTCGCTGATCGTGGCAGTCAACCTCGTTGGCAATTCATCGGTCTGCTTGGTGGTCTGGCGAAACAGACGGATGAGAACTGCCATGAACTTCTTGCTTATCAACCTTGCCTGTGCTGACATGATGGTGGCCGTCTTTTTAGCACCACAATATATATTCCTCCATACGTTTAACCATCCGAATGGCCTCACTGGAGAGTACTTATGCAAACTATGCACTGGTGGGAACCTTATGTGGACAGGGGGAGTGGTGTCGGTTGTATCGTTAATTGGAGTTGCGTTTGAAAGGTACTTTGCGGTGCTGTATCCCCATGACGAGAACCGTCGTATTTCGAAAAAAAAACTCAAATTAATCATCCCAGCTTGTTGGTTATTTTCCATCTGCTGGAATCTTCCCTTGTTTCTGCTCGTTAAATACGACGCGAGTTTAGATTTCTGCTACGAGGACTGGCCCCCTGGTTGGTACATGAATGCTTACAGCTTGGGATGGCTCATCATGATTGGTATTGTGCCGGTTACCATCATGTCCGTTCTGTACAGCCGAGTTGTTTATCAGCTTTGGGTGAGAAAATCACAGCCTGTGGACCTCCCTCAGCTTGCAGTGGTCAGATCACGCAAGCGTGTCACGAAAATGGTGTTATCCGTGACAGTTGTGTGCGCTGTATGCTGGCTTCCAAACCTCATTGCCTACGTTCTTGATTTCTACGGTTTGAATTCTCACGGTGATGTAGTACACACGACGACAGTGGTTCTGGTTTCGTTAAACTCGGCTGCCAATCCAATTATCTACTGTTTTCAGAGCAAAGATTTCAGAAGGCATATTAAGGCCCTGTGGCTTTCTCCTCGCTCGATGCGATCAGGTGCAACAGTAGGAACTCCAAAAGACACTGCTGCTCTACCTGTAAATAGGTCGCGAGCGACGCAATCATTTGTAAATTGACTTTACTTACAAAATCGTAATAAGTTTGCCAGCAACTTATCATTCCAGGTTTTGAAGTCCGGGTTAATTTCACATTCATATTCTGACTTTATACCTGATCAGTTCGTTCCATAAAGCACATTCTTGGAAGTTCTACATGACCTGGCTAAGGGTGCTCATTACTAGTCGTGCCAAGCCAACAAGCCCGTTTAAGGCTTACTAAAGGGTAGTGGGAGGGGAGAGGGGGGAGGGGGGGGAAGAGGCCTTAGCTTTTTCTTGAGTGTTTCTTAAAAGAGAAGTATACTCCTAGAAACCATATAGTCTCAGTCTTATATGTACAATTGTGACTCAAAGTAAGAGCGTTTTCAGCTTCGGAATACGGCCCTAACTAAATGAAATTTGCCTTAATGTGCTGTTACGTTCATTCTTGGCCAGAAAGATTAACCGGTTGCTGTGTCAAAACCCCGATTTACTCGTCTTTCGCTCAGCTCTTGGCGATCGTTTTGAACAGATAGGCGCTACGCTACACAACAGGGAATTTTTGCATGAAAATTTTTGCATGTTTTAGTGAACCAGAGTTGCAGCTTTTGGTGAAGCGCACGTCAAGGTCTCAATTCGCCATTCAGTTCCCGTCATCTGGTAACTCAGTAACCAAGCCATGTGTGCGGCTAGGTTCCTGAGTAGTTTTCAATATGGCGACATTTGAAGTCGAGTACTCAGCACATTTAAAAACAAGTCTAAACGCTTCTGTAATTATATTGGAATCTTAAACCACAGTATGTAGTGAATATTGTTAGATAAAAGCTCTGTCGAGGATGGTTAAATTTTAATGGGTACAATATCTAAATGAAGCTAAAAATTTAACTCAAGATTTAGAAGCACGTACCTACATGAAACAATGTAAGCGTTGACTTATTAGGGTGGGCAGTGCTGTGGAACACCGCGCTAACTCGAACTGTCCGGCAAACAAAAAAATGGACATACAGGGGAGTTTGGGTCAGCTCGGTTCGATCATGTTAACCGAGTGCGAGTTACAAGGTTTAAAATGAATGTAGCTGAATTCAAATAACTAATTCGTAAATGGAGTTGTTCTGTACTATTTGTTGGCTTTGACTGGTTCTGTTTGGTTTTGGCAAATGAAATGAAATAGGAAAGACCAAAGCTGAACATCCGCACTGACTCTATCCGAGCAAAACTTTTAATACACACGCTTCCTTGCTTGTAGTTTTCGTCCATATAATTTACATAGCTCCACAGTTTAGTATACTTTCAGACATCACGAATCACACAAAGTCGTCATGTTACGTTTTGTTCGTTGATTTCCTTTTTGAAATGTTTATTGAATTAGGCCCTTATTTGAAATCAGGACGCTACTGTGAAAATATTTCCTCTAAGTGTCAGTTGAGAGCAGTCAAAAAGGTAGTTTGCTTATAAATTGTCATATCTGTGAACAACAGAATTGAGCATCACTCGCTGTAAATAATTGATAGCCGTAAGAAACATACAAAGGAAAGTACATACCCAATAGCAATTAGGGCGGTTGTATAGGAAATCAAATTTGAAATTAAAGGTTTCTGGTAAATTAAGCAAGGACTTCATGAATTCTGGCAAAATGAAAAATTTCGATCTTTTTTGTAAACTGTCCTTTTTTATTAAGTTCAATCGCACTTGGCGGAAAAAATGAAAACTTTACAAACTATGAGTTTATGATTACGGAGTTTTTTATATATTTTGATTATAGATAACAAGGTGGCAGTGCAAAGGTTTACTGACAATCAAATCTAAATGGATTTGAATTACTTCATACTTCCACTCATAGATTTTCCCAGTTTTAACGGGAAAGAAACTTAGTCACTGTTTGTGCATCTAAAGGAAATGTTCGGTTTTCTTCCACCTAAATGTATTTCTTTGTGACTCTATAATGACTTGAAATAAGCAATACAAAACCTTCACAGGCCACGAACCTTTTCCTTTTCAAGGTCCGTTCTAAAGCAAAACATCTTGCTTTGTAACACATCTCGAATTGTCACGTTTCGTAATATTGCCGTTTATCCCCGTCGAAAAATCGGACCACCTCAAGATGTAACCTGGATGCGGATACTCTTTGCAGTGCATGCTCAAGCTTTTTATTACGCTGTCCTCTAAATCAGTGTTCCAGAGATACAGGTGGCTCATCTCACCAACAAAACTCTGCTCTCTATCAAAAGCACCTCCAAAAGTATCCTGATCTTGGCCCAGAATTAATTTTCCAGTGCCAGGAATGACTCCATGAATTGTTGTGTCACCGCGTATCTGAAGCTCTCCGTCTACAAACAGGTGCACAAAACCATCACTGTCCGTCCATTTGCCACACATTTGATGCCACACTCTATCATTATAGGTACCGGTATGACTGTGCCTGTAGAAATAGTTTTTCGATGCATGAGAGGGCAGATTTAAACTCTGTGATGATTTCTCGGTGTTGTATTTGATTTCTGACCAACCTTCGACTCCCGACAACGTAAGGAAAAAATCGAGGAGATTTGAAGTTTTATATGAGAAAAAAATGACCTTACATGAAGAAAAAGACTTTTTCTCTAATCCTAACCCTAACCATTACCCTAACCTTTTAACCTAAACCCTCCACCTGATACTCAGTCGCCAACAAAGAGGAAGGATACTGTGTCTCCCCGAAAATAGTCTTACTGATTAAATAATGGAAGTCATTATTTACTCACGTTTGCTTATTGAGCACCAAGAATCGAAATAATCCGGTTTCAGAAAGAAACATCATAATAGCATCGGTCATGTTGCCGGTGGCATAGGACAAAAAAACCAACTGTCGCGCCCAGGCTCTGTACCAAAAGCATACTGTGAAGGCGGAGAGGTCTGGTAAAGAGGTATTCAGTTCCACGAAGTTCGTTGTGTTACGGTCCAGAAATATCAAGTCATACGATGCACTGATGTCTGCGAAGAAAGTATTACCATTAGCGTTGGCCTTTTTCGACCCTGGTGAACGCAGTAATCGTGTATGATCCCAAAACAAGAAAGTAAGTGGTCTAAGCAGAGCGTATTCACTATTTTGAGTCAGTGTTACGAGTATTGTCGTATAAATGTAGTCTTTTTTAATTCAGTCTGAATTTTTTACTGTGAAGGAGCATGATAGGCTATGTATAGTGGATAAAAACGTCTGTTTTTTCTTTTCTTTTCTTTTCTTTTTTTTTTTTTTTCAAAAATCAATCGTATGTGGCGAACTTATCTTCCACAATCTAGGACACAAAGTGCTTAACCCTTTCACTCCCACAAGTGACCAAGACAGAATTTCTCCTTACAATATCAATACAATATCAATATCAATAAATGAGAATAGAGAAGAGTATCAATTATGGGATTATTAGTTGATCCAATACCAAATTCTCTGAACTAACATTATAAGAATTATATGGGAGATAGTAAGGAGAATTACTAATTAGATCTTGGGAGTGAAAATTTTAATGGCAGCTTTCAGACCAAGGCTTTCTTCTTTTGAAAGCCAATTATTCGACATGCGAAGAATGATTTTAATCATTTAAGAATTCCCGGAAGGAAAATTTGTTTACTTAACAGACTGCTAAATTATAACGCTTGAATCTTCTTTAAACATTACCGCCTCCATTTGTCATGTTACAGAAGGAAACATATGGATCCTCTGTATCATTTGAATTCAGCCAATAGAATCCATCGCTTGCAGACTCCTCTCTTGATAAGATTTCCTGACATGTTTTACCAGCGACACGACGTTGAGAGCCTGCAGATACTAATAATTGAAAAAAAAAAAAGCCTCAAACGTTTATCCTGAATTAAGCCAGTTATTTAATTTCAGTGTTTTTTTTGTGCGTCCCATGTACATGTAAATTTTTCGTCACAAGACTAAGCAAGGGTAGAAGAAGAGCAGAAAAAATTAAAAATCATCTGTAATATAAAATTTTGCTTTACTACCAAATTGAATTCGCTGTTGCTCCAGTGTGTAACAGTTCAGAGCAATGTAAATAAACTCTGATCTTCTTAACGAACAACGACTCTGCACAGTTTTATCTTTCCCAAAATAAGTGGTCGTCGAAAGATATGAAATAGTGTCTACACGATTGCCAACGTAATATAAAATATATTTTAGCTAGCTGATAACTTCCAGAAGTCGCTTAAACAATTTGCAATAGAATTCAACTGTTTCACAGGCAAGTGGATTAAGTATTCACATTGTTTAAATTAAACATAAAAGTAAAGGTGTCTTTCAGCTCGTAACGTTTTTATATTGTGCAAGGTACCTAAACGCCAGCATATCTCCTTTACATTCATTTCATTTACCTCGATGACGGCTCTCAAAATATACAGACATAGGGACTTCCTTCAAATCTTGCGGATGCGATGTCTCAGTTGCGTTATTGAGCTCGCAGCGTTTGTGGTCACCATTGTAATTCATACTACGACATTTTGGTTCATTGGCTTTACATTCTTGGTAGCAATCCTGAAAGTCTTTCACAGTAAAACTTGAGAAACTATGTCCTGTGAGGGCTTGGCCCAGGCCTGTCTTAACCTTACAATCAGCGTCAACTTTAGTCGCGATAGTAATGGTAGGGGCTATTCTGAAGATAACCAGGACTAGAAATGCTTTGGAGATTTTCATGTTTTGAAGATCAAGAAGGTCACTTACTCTGTGTCAATACAGTTCTCTTAAAACTGACGAAATGAAGATAACATATCTTGATCGTCAAATGTCTGAGTTACAGCCACCTCTTGAATAAGTGGTGATTCTTTTGATTGTTTTATGTAATATTATGAAGAACTACGCAACATTAATATTTCATATAGTGTTTGTTGTGTTCAAAATAAACCTTTTTAAGGAACCCACGAATTCATCATAATAATGCTCAGTTGGACAAAAATACTTTCATGAGCTCAGCGTGAATACCTTCGATTCTCAACTCAAAGAAAAAAATGATAAACGATTAACTAAATGAATAAAATAACGGAATATACGAGTACAATGAATCACTGGAACTCATCGAAAACGTTTTTCACTACTTGTTTCAATGTGAAATGAATCAGCTTTTCGTACGACCGAACCAAAATTCCATCCTTTACCAAATGATTTCTTATTCATACTATTACTTCACAGCTGGAGATGTTAACCGTGATCAAAGCAGTGCTCTTGGTTTTTTCTTTTTTTCTTTCATGGTTAAGTGTAGCTCAAAATGCTCTGT